CCTGGTTTTCTCCACACATACCGCTTAGAATTAAGACCAAAAAGTTCTATCTTTGGTCTCATCAGACCAGAGAATCTTATTTCTCACCATCTTGAGGTCCTTCAGGTGTGTTTTAGCAAACTCCATGCGGGCTTTCATGTGTCTTGCACTGAGGAGAGGCTTCCGTCGGGCCACTCTGCCATAAAGCCCCGACTGGTGGAGGGCTGCAGTGATGGTTGACTTTCTACAACTTTCTCCCATCTCCCGACTGCATCTCCAGAGCTCAGCCCCAGTGATCTTTGGGTTCTTCTTTACCTCTCTCACCAAGGCTCTTCTCCCCTGATTGCTCAGTTTGGCCGGACGCCCAGCTCTAGGAAGGGTTCTGGTCGTTCCAAACATCTTCCATTTAAGGATTATGGAGGCCACTGTGCTCTTAGGAACTTTAAGTGCAGCAGAATTTTTTTGAAACCTTGGCCAGATCTGTGCCTTGCCACAATTCTGTCTCTGAGCTCTTCAGGCAGTTCCATTGACCTCATGATTCTCATTTGCTTTGACATACACTGTGAGCTGTAAGGTCTTATATAGACAGGTGTGTGGCTTTCCTAATCAAGTCCAAACAGTATAATCAAACACAGCTGGACTCTAATGAAGGTGTAGAACCATCTAAAGGATGATTAGAAGAAATGGACAGTACTTGAGTTAAGGTACTGTCCAAAGGACAAAAAGATAGAACTTTTTGGCCTAAATTCTAAGCGGTATGTGTGGAGAAAACCAGGCACTGCTCATCACCTGTCCAATACAGTCCAGTGACACAACAGTGAACCATGGTGGGGGGGCATCATGCTGTGGGGGTGATTTTCAGCTGCTGGGACTGGACGACTGGTTGTAATCGAAGGAAAGATGAATGTGGCCAAGTACAGGGATATCCTGGACTAAATCATTCTCCAGCGTGCTCAGGACCTCAGACTGGGTCGAAGGTTCAACTTCCAACAAGACAATGACGAAGCGCACAGCTAAAATAAGCCAAGGAGTGGCTTCAGTGACTGTTCTTGAATGACCCAGCCAGAGCCCTGACTTAAACCCACTTGAGCATCTGTGGAGAGACCTGAAAATGGCTGTCCACCAACGTTCACCATCCAACCTGACAGAACTGGAGAGGATCTGCCATGATGAATGGCAGAGGATCCCCAAATCCAGGTGTGAAAACTTGTTACATCATTCCCAAAAAAAACTCATGGCTATATTAGCTCCAAAGGGTGCTTCTACTAGATACTGAGCAAAGGGTCTGAATACTTATGACCATGTGTTATTTCAGTTTTTCCTTTTTAATAAATCTGCAAAAATGTTAACAATTCTGTGTTTTTCTGTCACTATGGAGTGCTGTGTGTACATTAATGAAGAAGAAAAAATAACTTAAATGATTTTAGCAAATGACTGCAATATAACAAAGAGTGAAAAATTTAAGGGGGTCTGAATACTTTCCGTATCCACTGTATATAAGCGTAAACCACTAATGATACATTGGAAGTTATTACTGGAAGTTTAGTTCTTGAATTTGTGTACTGGTAACTGTTGTTCGAGATTTTCTTGAATACTTCTCCAGTCGTTTTATTTTGCTCTTGGACCTGTTTGTTTTGGAGTTTTGTTAATAAACGAATCAACCATCTACCGGCTGTTTCATTCCTTGCCTGAGACTACCTACGAGGTGATTTCTCCAATTTTGGTGCTGTGACTACGGGGAGAAGAAATACTCCAGTTGGTGTCGTGCTCACGAACGAAGAAAGGCCAAATCGTTCAACTGGGCTGCAAACCGAACAGAACATTTTCTGTCACCCAAAAAACTGAAAATGTGTAAGTAGTCTAAAACACATAAATTCAGCAAACAAAACAAAAAATGAACACTGAAAATAGCTAGTCATGGGATAAGGTTAACAAGTTATAAAAGCTTAGAAAACTAGCCTTAAGATGAGCAACCCTTCATGTAGCAGCTAAAAGAAAATAGCCAAAAGACTTTCCTAAACTAAAGAGAAAAAAAACAAACATGCATGCTTCTTGTAAAAATGTGTTTTTAAATTAAATTAAATTAAATTAAATTTAAAACTAATTTATTTAGCTTAAATGTATATATTACATTATAACCTTTGGCTAATATTTTGGAAAAAGTAATTGTAACTTAGCCATTGTGTTCTTTTACTTTCACTGGTTCTAAACATGTTTTGATTGTCACAGCTCTATAAAGATTGAATGAATGTGACTAAATAAAAGGTGTTGACAGCAAAGTGCTGCCTTCTCAAACTTAATTACAGTCTTTGCTTTGTATTAAGATATTTGTGTTTACAAGGTCACTTTCAAAACAAGACAGTAATATTCTCCTCGGTTTTCTATCCTTGACTAATGACAGGCTGCCAAACACCAGCAGATTATTGCTGATACCAGACATTTCTTGGAGCTGTCTCTAAGTTGTGACACTGATGAGAACATGATGGACAGAAACACAAAGGCTCTGATCATAGCTTTGTAAGCAAGGCAGAAAAAATCCAACGTGGAGTTGCCAAACAGCCATGATGACTGGATTTGTGCTGTTACCATCCGGTTACAGCTCCAGCAGCTTGGCTCTGGTAATAACAGCTCACTCAGCCAAAAACGGACACAGTGACATCATGGAAACAAACAGCTTCTGACTGAGAACATTTCTATTCCTAATGTAAAAATCTGTTTTAGCCTGTTTAACAACAGAGGTAATGTTTTTAGTCACTTTCAGAAATTATTTGGAACCTTGGTTAAACTAGAACCATTTGTTGAAATAGTACTGCAAAAAGAATAAAAGGGTACATTTTTAATTTTACAGTATGAAAATGATGTGCAAGCATTACCCCTATTCAAATAAACACCTTGCTGGTTAGATAATCATTACTTATCTCAGCTCAGAGTGAAGGTTTTGAGTCCAGTCCTAAAGTATTTGGGACAAAGTGACTTAGTTAAAACTTAGTAAATACACTTCTCATTTTTATCCTTGGAAGTCAAGTGACAATTTTGTTATAATACTTAGATTTTCCACTTTTCCACAAAGACTAACCTTGACTTTTATTTTGAACGTTTGAATGATGCTGATTAGTCTGTCTGACCAATCAAACATGCTAAAAGAAATATGTTTATTGCAGTAATTAAGTATTAAGAGTCACACCAATTTGTGTTTGTTCTCTTTGGGGATCAGAATATTTGTTGCACAATGAATGAATATATTTTTTATGCGTCTATATTATGTTGCAATTAATACAAAGTACATATATTACCGGTACTCATATATCACTCACAAATTATGAGAGATGGAAAAAAGGTATTACATTTGTATCTGTACTAAGATATACTCGAGGTTGCAGTACCAGTATGGGTATTGGAAATGAAAAAGTGCCTTTGAGCCATCCCTAGTTTTTGACCCAGTGTAATATTGTAGACATGATACAAATGCCTTGTCCTCTTACTGCACAGCTGTCCCTCAAGGTGTCAAACTTGCGCTGTATCTCATCTCTGTGTGCCTGGGAAAAGTAATAAAAGAAGCAGGTCAAATATTAGGATCTACCTCACAGGAACCCAAAGATAAAATTCTCCCACATCTTCTTTAATTGCCTTACTCTGAGCACAGTGATCTCCTCCTCAGCTTCTGTCGTGGTCTCCTCCAGCTCAGTCTTGGCCTGCTGCAGTCGACTCTCTAAAGCGTGACGAGCTGCCTGCAGGTTACTGACCTGGGATTCACGCTCCTGCAGTGTGATGGTCAGTTCTGTCACCTGGCGCTTGATCTCCAGCTTCTGTTCCTCATGTTCCAGCCCCATCTAACAAGACAAATCCAGTATTGGGGAGCATGAAAAGGAGAAGATCAGGACGCCGTAGCTATTGCTCTGGTAATTTACTAACATAACAATAATGTTGGTGTGACTGTTGACTGAAGAGGAATAAAATTATCAGGATGAGTACTAGCCCGTATTAAATGCATCGTGTCTGTGTTTGGTATATTTTCTGTCTGACATTTTTTTATGTCTGTCAAAAGCTGACATTTAAAATTTTAAATGCAGTGTTTAGTTAATTTGAGCATGATTAAAACTGATTAAATAGATAGGTAGATAGATAGATAGATCGATAGATTGTACTGCCCTCGCAGTGCGTGTGCTTATGCAAAGCTAGACAGTCATATAACGGATAGAATCCTTCAAAAAACCACAAGGCTTGACTTTTCTTGTCCTTTAATGGAGTCTTCTATTTCCCAACTCAATCCGTAAAACTGAAAATTATACAGAGATAGAAACACAATTTACTTAAACACTGTATAAGCAAGGCATTGCATAAGTACTTTTCAATTAGCATCCATCAATTAACAAAATTAAAAGAGTTAGCATCTGTTGAAAACTAGCAGAATACATTGTCGGAAAACACAATAAATTCCTTGCAGAAATACACAATCATTTGACAATTGTCCACAAATAATACTTACAGATAATTAATTCTCCAAGGCAAAAGTGTCAAAAAACTCCAACAATGTTATCTCAGTAGTCTGTTCAGCTTGCATGTGCTCGCCTGAGCATGCAACGGAAAAAACACAGCATTGCTGGAACTAACAAAAAGAGTACTCACTCCGACGCAATTTCTCTAGACCAAAGAAAAGACCACTCACTCTGACGCGGTTTTTCACAACCAAAGAATATAGACTTTTTAAACCTGCTCAATGATTAATGTATGAACTTTAACTTAACATTTTAACTTTTTAACCCTTAATGGCAGAACATAGATAGATAGATAGATAGATAGATAGATAGATAGATAGATAGATAGATAGATAGATAGATAGATAGATAGATAGATAGTGACTGTGAACTAATCTTTGACTGTGAACTAATCTTTCGCTGTGAACTAATCTTTCGCTGTGAACTAATCTTTCGCTGTGAACTAATCTTTCGCTGTGAACTAATCTTTCGCTGTGAACTAATCTTTCGCTGTGAACTAATCTTTCGCTGTGAACTAATCTTTCGCTGTGAACTAATCTTTC